ATCTAGAGCATTATTTATTTATTAAATTTCTTTTTTATTTTTTTTTATTTTTTTTTATTTTTTTTATTTTTTATTTATATTTTTATTTATTTATTTATTTATTTAATCCTCCAGATACATATTGATACAAAAATTCTGATGAATATAACGCGAGAATCACGTAAATAGTTTAAGGGTTGATAGAGGGGTGAAAAATGATCGTATCGATTCCAAAATTTATACAGCACATCTTCGGGTCGCTAGAAAGGTACCATAAAAATTTGGACCCAATCGGTTGAACGGTTATTGAGGTATCGTGTTTACAAGGCCGTCCTGAGTTAACAATAGTAGGACTTCGCTTCGCTCAGCTAAATTATTATTATCATCATAAATTCGGATGATTTCTACCTGCAAAAAAAAATACGCGGCTATCTATCTCTCTCTCCCACCGGGGATTTAAACATTTTAGAATCAAGCGAGGTGTACGAAATACTCTCATGTTTGATTCGCATCGATAGTTTTTTTTTTCATTACGGGCGCGCGAGAACAATGAATTTGAATTGACCGTGTAGATATCTATTGATACAATTCAGCAGATTCGTATCGAGCGCGCGGGGGCAAAAAGGCGAAGCTTCATTGTCTCACGATGCTCCAGCGGCCCCCACGCCCCGGCGTTATCCGTTCAATTACGTTTCGCTCCATCTGCGCGATTGAAGTTGCACGTGTATATATACAATATATATACAGCTCTTACTTTTCTCTTTTTATTTTTATTTTTCACCTTGCTTTTACGTCTCGTTTCGCTCGATTGTATCCGAAAAACAAAGAAAATTCAATAATCTTCGTTTTGTATTCGTCGATAAAAAAGTCAACAGCTTTGAGATGAATAAAGAGATATACATAAAACTGCGTATATATACACGGCGAGCGACGTATTACCGGTTTATGTATTCACGACTCTAATAGAGCGTCACGGGGCACTCGACTCGTTGACTATCATCTTGGTAATTTCACGAGGTATAATGGCCTGACCTCGTATAATATTGAAACTGCATAATCTTATGGGCCCAGTCTATGAATATATGGGCCATTCCGAAAAAGAATCACCTGCAAGTACAGCGTCTAATGGTCGGTACACGCGTGCTATAAAAAATAGTTTTTTATATTATTGATCGTCCTAAACTTTAATTTTTCTCCTATTTTGCTAAAAAAATTTCAGAATTGCTTAAATAGTTTCTCTTTTTATAATATGGGTGTAACAAATCTTAGAATAGCATTAGTTTAATTAGTTGAATTAGTTTGAGATTCAGCATAGATGTAAGCATATTATGAAAACGTAAATTATGATACTAATTATATAAAGATTGATTCAAAATAAGCAATACGGTTCTTTCAAAAAAATGTATTGGTTTTTTAAGAATTCGGTTTATAATTAATAAATTAACTTAATTAATTAAGTCATCACAACAAATTTACCATATTGTATATCATGGTTTCTTGATACAATTGAACATACTTCTTTTACACTTTTTTTACATTTATAATATAATATCATAATGGGTCAGTGATGCGCAACATCGATGTGCATTTTAAGATTACTCTTTCTTGTAAAGGACTTTCCGCACTTATTACATGAATAGGTGATATCATTATGCGACGAATTAACATGCCTTAAGAGATCAGTTTGATATTTATATTTTTTTTCACATTTATCACATGCATGAATGATACCATTGTGCATCGAATCGACATGCTTTTTAAGATTACTCTTATCTGAAAATTTCTTTTCGCATACATCACATACATGTGAAACACCATTGTGCGCCGAATCGGCGTGTCTTTTAAGTGCTTTCTTCTCTGAAAATTTCTTCTTACATACATCACATACGTAGGTGATATCTAAATGCACCTTATGGATATGGATTTTGAGATAACTTTTTTTTGAATATGATCTTCCGCATTGATTACATGCATGTGTAACACCATTGTGCACCGTTTCAATGTGGGTTTTAAGATGAGGTCTCTGTGTGAATGAGTTTCCACACTCATTACATGCATGTCTTATACCTCTATGTTTTGTGTCGTTGTGACGTTTAAGATGACTTTGTTTTGTAAATTTCAATCCACATGTATCACAAGAGATACTCCTGCTCACTTGATCGATGGGTGTTTTGAGTCTATGTTTATAAATTGATGTTTCTTCAACTCTTCTCTTATCATTTTGCTTACTGAGTTTGTAGTCTGAATTCATAGTCAATTTTTCTGCCTCTTCACCAAAAAATTCTTCTTTTAACACCCCAATCTTTTCTACTTTTATTGTTTTTTGAGTTTGGTCGCTCAATATCATATTCTGCAAATGATTTTCAGAATAATCCTCCATTTTCTCAAGTACTAATAAACCCGTGTCGGGCTTTACATCTTTACACTCGAAAATTATTTCCATGTCTTTATGAGGTTCAGCTGTTTCATCATATTCTTGTTTAAGCCTTTGGATCTGAAATAAAATTCAAATCATTTGAGGAATTTTGTTAATAAATATTAGCTCTGATGGTACAATTATCAACTCTTACTGAATTTCTATGCATAAATTGGAAAAATTCAACGTTTTGTGCATCAGGGGCCTTGTCAATTGTTTGATAATATTCATTATCATTTAGCGACACATCGCTTCGCTCCTGTTTTACTCTGAAATAAATACAAGAGATTAAGTAATACACTACGATATTTTCATATATTTCTTCTCATAAAGTCAAATTTACTTGACGGTACAGTTGAATGTATCACCCGATTCCATGTTGCTCACTCAGGATTTCCTTTGCGACTAAACTTTCTATACTAATTTTACTCGTCAAACCAAATTATTCAGACTTGATAATATTTACAAACATGATACTAAACACAAGCAAAATTCAGTGTCTATTTCATAATATTGAAGAGATTACGTTATTGATCTGCTCAGTAAACAATACAAATTTTTCGATGTATGATATTCTATAACGAAAGAAAACGGAAAATTTAAAAAATAAAAGATTCCAAGCCGCGCGTGACGCGTTTAGAAAGATCTAGTATTTATCTTATATATATACGGCATTGACCGAGAAAGACAGAGAGCAAGCTACGCACATAAACACGGAGATACACTTGGAGCTCCGGCGACGACGCTTGAAATTTACATAGAATTCTGTATACACGTCATCCCTTTCTATTTCGGCTTATATTTATTTATACAGCGCGGAGGAATATTTCGTTTTTGCCGTAGTTTGCATAAAATTATTTCAAGTGAGACAGCTAGAAACGTTATGCGCTGCAGCAGCAGAATAGAGAGAGGCCCATTCGAGAGTCGGAACACGAAATCCGCATTTGCTCGTAGATACTCGAGGAAGGTATACAGGTGGAGAGAGGACAATAGCTCGTGATACATAAAAAAATGTCGTGATTCGCTTTCTTAAGCGTTTCTCGCAGATACGTTTTTTTTTCTCCGCGTACATCATTTTTCTACGCGTGATTAATTTAAATATAAAAACGCATAAAATAACTATAAGCTGTATCGCGAGACCGTCAGCTTGATGCAGTTTCGTTATGATATTAATTTACTACGTGCACGATCAGATTGACGTGACGGCACTTTACGGAAAATTGCTGAAAGTTGAGCACGAAAGAGAGAGCGAGACGAGGAAAGATTGGTCGGATGTGTTTAAAGCGCGAAGCTTATCAAGAACTCTCGTAAACTTTGCTTTTTACCGCACTTCTCTCTCTTTTTTTCGTGCTCTCCTTTTTTTGCGTCGTGGGATCGCGCGCAGTTATGCTCGCTTGCTCGTATTATATATGCAGGAAAATGTATCAAGCTCGGCGCACGCATTTATACGCACGAACGGCCAACTTGGTACTTTTTTTTTTCTTTCGCGCGCTTTTGTACACGTTCGTAGAGGCCCTCAGGTACGATTATAACATAAGTTTCGGCGAGCTTTTTTTTTTTTGTTTCGTTGTTTCCATATAACTGTTTCGTTCTTGCGCGAGCGAAATTCCGTGAATTCATAATTTTATTATCATTCTTGTTTTTCTTCGCGAATTCGTTCCGGAAAATACGAGCAAACGAGGCAAGTGCTCGAACGCGCAGTTCGAAGTGCAACCGAGAATATCATTGTAACGTAAGATCAATATTGCGCGCATGATTACAACTGCAAACCCGTTGCAGCAAGCGTTTGTTAACTTAAACTCTTTTGCGGTTTTTCGCACCGGTGAGATGAATCCCGACGAGAGCGAGAGAAAGACACCATGAAATTGGATTTACGCGCGTGTAGCAACGGTGCCACGCGTCGACGTGCGAGGAGAACTGCAGGCGGTATAAAGCTTTAATCTCCCTTATGGAAATAAGCCGAGAGCGTACACGGGGTGAGAGAGAGAGAGAGAGCAAATAGTTAAGGAGTACAAGTATGACACTCGAGAGAGTAGAAGAAGAAGAAGAGAAGGAGCCGAGAGAAAAGTCGGGAAAATTCGAGTACGGTTAAAATTTCGATTCTATCTTTCTTGCCTTTTTTTCGCCTTCTTCTTCTTCTTCCTCATCCGCGACGAGCGTAAGATATTATACTCTTGGGGTACAGGACCCGTGGAAAGATATTTGTCACTGTCGCGCGTCGGGGTGCAGACTGCCGCGTCACGTACGCGAAAATAATAATTGGACGGATCTCTCTCGCGCGTTACACGCACGTGTGTTGTTGTTATGTAAATCCTCCTCGTTAATTCTGATATCGATAATCAGGGGTAAGATGAAAAAAACAAACGAACGAGAAAAGTTTCTGCGAGAGAGAGAGAGAGAACAGCTGTGCCGAGCTGCAATCTCGAGCGTATCGAGAGAGAGAAAGAAAGGAAAAGTTATAAATACAAGATTGAAAAGTGAAATATCCAAAGTCTCGCGACGGTGGCGATGCCGCTGCGTCGTCGCATAAAATCTCGATGATAATGCAATATGATTATATTAAAAAACGCCGCTTGCATACGTACACGCGGCGTTGGGGGATCGATGCCTTTATTGAAAAAATCCACATATAGTGGCGGCTATATAGCGGGAGATGAGAAAGTGATAAAAGCTATATTCATGAAAAGTCTTACGAGTTTTCGTCTCGCATATTGGCCGCGATATTCTTCTTCTCTCTCTCTCTCTTTCTCGGTCGCACAATGTGGGCGCTACAAAAAAAAAGAACAGGCAATTCAAACATCGAAATAGTATTGTCATAACGGGTGTTGGTTATCTCCTCGGTGGATTAAAAGAAAATGTTTAAAATTAATTCCTGCACCGAAAAACGGCAGGTAATATTTGACTTTCCCACCCGCGTGCAAGAGTTAAAACCACACTGTATAAATTTGCTCAAATTCGCTCGCTCTATCGCCCGCTACATCTCTCTCTCTCTCTCTCTCTCTCTCTCTCTCTCTCTCTTCCTATCTGCATCGGGGAGGTCTCTCTAGCCTGTTTGCTTTGAGGATCAAGTGCCCGCGCCAAGAATATTTAGTGTAATTGAACATGAACTAGTCGAGTGACCGGAGCGGCGGTGAATTTTCGCTTGTACCTCGGGACCGAACGAGTTTGAATAATTTTCAGCGACGAACTGTAGCAGATAATGACGTTCAATCGAGTTTTCGTAAAAGGGTGCGCAGTTTTTCACATTAGGACTCTTTGAGAGCAGCCGGTGTCCATCGAGTGCGACGTACGAAATTTTTTTTTTACAAAAATAAGTCGGTCGTATAAAATAACGTCTGCGACGCGTTTGCGCGACGTTCACCGCCGCGAGTCAGTTGATATTTCCAGAGTTTAATTTCGGAAAATTGCCGCGCTGTATACCACTGCGATACAGCTTCATAAATAAAGAACATTTACAATTATCCGCGCGCGCGCGCGCAGTCTTGTAATTCGTTCCTCAAATGAAACTTCGCCGCCCGCGTATATGAGCTAGCTTTAGAAAATTAATTAAATTCAATTAAAATCTTCCAGAGCGCGATTATACGAGACGTAATTTAATTTTTTTTATTCCTTTCCCGCGCGCGATGCTTCTCTTTTTGTCATCCCAAAATTTCAATATCTGCGCACAAACGTCGTGAATCGCAAAGATAATAAAAACGGACGCGTCGAGGGCAGCGGGACAGCAGCGAGAGAGAGAGAGAGAGAGAGCACCCCGTAGCTATTTTTTTTCCTGAACACGTATATCGCATACAGAGCGCACTGCCCTGGACTAGTTGACACTTTTTGCCCCTTTCAGTCAATCCCCGCGCGTTTTTTCTTCCGAATGAATTTTTCTCGATAATTTCCAGCGCGCTCTTTTCTCTCCATTTCAAAAATTCAACCTCAATGAATTTCCCCCCCATTTGAAATTCATCCCCATTTTTTTTCCGTTCTACATCCCTCATTTATAACGCACGAGCTGGTGTGTGTGTGAGCTTTTTTCCCACGAATCTCATAAATGCTCGATGAATAAACGGTTTATCTTCGGGCGAGCGAGAGTAGAGAGTTTTGCACTGGAATAAGTCTACTGGGAGCGATGTAAATTGCTACTACTCTCTGCGAACAGCATTATCCCCCGCATGTACGTACACGACTGCTTTGTGACTAGCGCGCATATAACTGGTTTTGATGTTTAATGGGTGTAGCGGGACGAGGCAAACTTTTTTTTCCTCTTTTTTTTCTATCTCTATCTCTCTCTCGCGCGATTTGCATGCGTAGTGGCACTTTTTATAAATTTACACAATCACACGCGAGCGGCGTCAAAGAGACTCTCGCGTGCGCAACGGTGCTAATAGCGATAATTTTTCACGTCGACGAGGATTCGTTCTATTTCGCGCGGCATGACAATGCCCGCGTCTCGCTCGATTTTATTCTCCAAAGAGAGATCGAAGTAATCGCTGGAGTTATTAATTCAATTTCAGCTGCGATGCATGTACGCGCTCGTGCAGAGCTTGAAACTGGAACTTAATTTTTTTTTCATACCACGATTGGCTCGCGCATCTGCGTTGAATCCGCGACCGAAAATCAATGTTGTATAAGTTCAACCGAAGGTAAATACTGACGCGCCAAATCTCAAATTTTGCCCTGTTGAAAAGTGCGACGAGCGAGAGAGAGAGAGAGAGAGAGAGATCGTTAAAACTTATTTCTTCCGCAAGCTCGTATATAATACGTACACAAGACGCTGAGTTTTCTTTGGTACCCTACCCCCCTCCAAATTACCCGCAGCGCACTTGTAACTTAATTGCTTAAATCTAAAATATACCTGCCAGAGAGTGTGTGTGTGTGTGACTGTGCAGGTACAAGCAGACGAACGCCGAAGCTTTTGGAATTCAAAAAGGCTCTCGATTTAAAGCCCGACGCGCGCGCGCGCGTGGCGCTATTTTGTTCGGAAACTCAAAGCTGGGTGCAGTACGGCGCGCGACGCGACGCCCGTTGGAAAAGTTTTGCGTGCCTCTCGCTGCCTAGGAAATCGAAAATCGCGACTCGCTCTCTCTCTCTCTCTCTCTCTCTCGAGTTTTTCGATTTCTGCGTTGTACCGAAAAGTTCGCAGTTTAACAAACTTTCATGCCCTTTCTAGATTACCGCTCCGAGTTGACCGAAGTCCCTGCGCGCGCGCGCGCGAAAACCTTCGAGCAGTGAGCAGCGCTGATTGTATATGTACCTTTGATACAAATACACATCCATACGAAAACTTAGAAAAGCTCGAATTCATCGCAAGTAATTAAATGAAGTCCGAGAGCCGCCGAGGCAATAATGAAAGAAGAAGAAAAAAACGTTCCACTTTTGCACTCTATATGCAAAGAACTTATTCTTTTGTAAACACACGAGAGAAATGAGAGCGAAAAAAA